TGTTTATATCCATGTATGGTATGTGTATGACCATAATATATGGAAGCACACATATCAACATCCACCATGCAGAGATGTCAGCCAGTTCAACAAGGAGGTATATGTAACAAAATGAAGAAATGAAAATAAAATAAAAATAAAATATTTTGGGATGACAGTAGAAAACATAATGCATGAAATGTAAATGTCCAGGTCGCTAGAATACATGCATGTCTACTCCGTAGAGCAGGCTTAGTGCAGGGATGCGAAGGGAAGCCGGAAGAATAAAGAAACAACCGGCGCAATTGTACATGTTCATGTAATGTACAATACAAGAAAAATAAAAGAATATGGGGAAATAAAAGGGGTGGAGATGGATAAGGAAAGTGGGAAATTACAAATAATGACAAAAAAAAAAAAAAAAAAAAAAAAAAAAAAAAAAAAAAAAAGAGAGAGAGAGAGAGAGAGAGATGCGCTCTCATGCAATGTAGAGTTTTGAAGTTTTGAAGGGAGAAGAGAACATTAAAAATCATGGCACAAGTTGAAAGCAGAAAGCAAGAAAGTGTATCCTGATCAGACGAAAAGAGAGAAAGCAAGAAAGTGTATCCTATCCTGATCAGACGAAAAGAGAGAAATGAAGAAAGAACAAGAAAAGGTAAAGAAATTTATATATATTTAAAAAAAAAAAGAAAAAAGAAAAAAGAAAAGAAAAGAAAGAAAAATAACAAGAAAAATCCAAAGGAATATCACCAGGATAATCGATAAACAGAATGAGAAAACAAAAAAAAGATAGAAAATAAGAAACATAAAAGATAAAAACAGGTAAATTTATGTGAACTGCCTCTTCAGCGGCCTCCCAATCATTTTGAAAAAGATGTCCGCCAAGCCTTCCTTAAACCGCTCCCACCACGTCCGATTCAGGAAGTACCCCAGCTGGCGATAATAATACATCTCTCCCCAGCAGTCCCGTCCCCACTGGCAGCCGGCCATGTTGACGATGAAATCCCTCTCCTTGCGCAGGTAGTGGAAGCGCCTATCCGTGCCATCCCCGCACGCGCCCGGCGGGAATGAGTTCATGCGCCGCTGCGGCATAAAGGCGACGTGCGGCCGCACCCACGGGTGGTTGATGTACAAGTGTTCTAGGCTGTCCTGCTCCTTGTGCTCCCAGGCCATGTGCTTCTGCTCGTACAGCACGGGGTCCCACCACATGTCCAGCAGGCGCTCGGTCCAGGTGCTGCGTCGGAGGACAAAGGAGCCCAGGTTGAAGCCGGAGCAGTCCTGGGTGAGGATCATGTTTATGGAGGAGGTTTTGTCGTCGCCCGTCCGGGAGAGGGAGATGGGATCGAGGTAGGGCGCGGTGGGGGGGTGGGTGATGTTGAGCGGATTGAAGACGTTGATGTCACGGTAGGCTTTGGATTCGAGGTGGTTGAGGACGTGCGATTGGAGGGAGTAGGTCGGTTCCATGATGTAGGTGTGGAGGTCTAGCCACCAGAACCTGGATGGAGGGATGTATTTGTTAGTTTTGGCTTTTTTTTTTTTTTTTTTTTTTTTTGTTGGCCATATAATATTCTGTATTGAACATGTACGTACCACTCTGCATCGGGATATCGTTGTAAAGCCTGGCGGATCGCATCGACTTTTTCCCACCCTTCGCGCCATTCGTGTGCGTATCGTTTCTTCGTAACCATATTGACGATTTCCAGTTCGTAGCCCCAGCGCTGGACGTATTTCCTCTTGTTTTTCAAACTATCCCGTTCAATTGCCCATTCACGAGCGCCTTTCCATTCCATGACTCCTCCGCCGATATTCGAGCCCACGAGCATCACGATTTTCTTACCCCCACCTATCGAGGATGCGCGGTATGATTGTATAATGCCTGTCAAATGTTAGTGGGGGGTTTTCCTTTTTTTTATTTAACATATACGAGCTATATATATGGGGGAAAAAAATTTAAAAAAATTTAAACCACGAGGGTTACTCACGAGTTGAGAAGAACAGCCAAAAGAGAAAAGTTAGTAGCAGGAGGAGCAAGTATCTGAACCTTTTCCGCCGAATCAAGCTGCCTAGAAGAGTTTTGATACGAGCGCGCATGGGCATGTCGCCTAGCCCTCGTGGCAGCCATCGCCCGCGACCCAGCTTTTCCTTCTCACTGTAATCCAGCATGGAATTAACACGGAAGCGCGGTAGGCTTGCGGAGATTTTCCGTCGCTGTCTCGAAAAGAAGCCATTGTTTCGCGTGGAAAAGGAAGGGTAGCCGACTATGCGGTCACTTTTCGCCTTTGCGGAAGCCCAGGTCACCGCACCGTTGCCAGGACCCGAGCCAGCGATTGGTGAACCGTTTGGATAGAAAGCCCCATTCCCGCTGCTTGTGCTACTGTTTGCTATGTCGTTGAATCCCCTTCGCGGACTGGAGCCTCTAGAACTGCCGGCGCCGATGGTTAAGCCGGGGCTGGACCATCCTCCGCCACGACGGGGGGAGGGTGATCTCGAGAGGGACATGGACGACTGGCCCGGATATGGAAGGGTGCCTGACGGGAGGGAGGCGATGGAGGGGAGGGAGCCTGAGCTAGGCGAAAGGGAGGAGGTGGTTGCTGCTGTTGCTACTGCTGATGCTGCCGCCTGAGCCCGCTTGGAGGAGGATTGGAGGTGTTTTACGGAGGAGGTGATGCGGACAGAGGAGCGTCTTCGGTGGTGCGGACCGGGAGAGCGGCTATCCCTCGAAGATTTTGAAGCCAGGATGAAGGGCGAATACGGGGGAGCAGGAAGAATGGGAGAGGGCGGAATTCTCTCCCTTTCAACCCACGAACAGGGAGATGTATGTAAGAATATATATATGTGTGTGTGTATGTGTCTTTATTGCCCGCCTCGGTGGCCGCGCTTCCACAGAATCTCCTGTTGCGTCTTTGTGTGTATGCAGGTCCGTATGTATGCGTATATGTCTTATTAATAGATTATGTATAGTGTATGTGCATGACTATGTTTGCGGCGAAGGAGCTATACTTTGAATATCTTGCGAGTTTTTCTTTGGTGGGTTCGAAGTCTCTTGATTGACAAAAACATGAATAGGAGGGATAAGAGTTTTAGCGGGCCGAAGGGAGAAAAAAGGCACAGCGGAAGAGGAGTTCAGGAGGCGAGAGGTGAGTAAAAGGATACTTGGTATAAGTGAGAGAGGAAGGGGAAGAAGTCTGGTGATCGATGGTAGCAATGGCGGCCAAGGGAGAATCTGTAGCGACTGAGATTTGTCTGAAGTTTGAAATATCAATCCTGGATTGATTGAGGCGATTGAGGCGATTGAGGCGATTGGGGGCGATTGTGCCCAGAAGCTAAGGGCGAGACAGGAGACGACGAGGATGAGCTAGATGGGCGGCGGGTGGGTGGAGGAGGGCGGGTGGTGAGACACATCGCAGGGCCCGATTGGTCGGCGGGATGGGATATACGGATTATATAGCAGCAGGAGATAGGAGAGAAGAGAGAGAGAATGGAGAGTGGAGAATGGAGAGAGAGGGAAGAAGAAGAAGAGAAGGGAGAAGAAGTTGAGGTGTTGATTCGACAGCCAAAAAAGAAAAAAAAGAAAAACAATCACAAAAACAGCAGAAAATGTAAAAAAAAAAACACAAACAAAACAAAATCAATCTTCAGAGATCTCTTCAGTTATTTTATTCTCTTCATTAGATATTTAGATGCTTCTCTTCCTTCAAGATATTATATAATTCCCTTTTTATTTTATATATATATATACTGCACATCCACCACCCACACATGTACAGTACTTACTCCGTGCTCATATTATCATACCATAGTTACCTGTATATGTGTCCTGTTGTCCCGTCTTCCCTCATTATTATTATTATTATTATTTCATTTCTCTACCGTAGTTATCATACCGCTCCACGCGGCCCTCACTAATCCCTTGCCATGTCTAATAATCTGTAACATTTGCTCCGTACCGTCCGTACTTAACTAGTTACTCAGCGAGTCACTAACTAACTACTAGTTACATAGTTGGTTAGTCCTGTTGATGTTGAGATTGTGCTGCAACAAAGTCATCAAGATCTCCTCCTCATTGGAGATTGTATGAAATAGTGACCCCCACATCATGGGAGGGCTCCATCCCCTCTATTCTCAGGGGTTCTCTACGCTGTATAACCCGGAGTCTCTATACCCTGGGGGGGTCTCTTTACCCGGGGTCTCTATACCCTTGGGGGGGTCTCTATACCTGGGGGGGTCCCTTTACCCGGGGCTCTACTGTGTAGGCCCGGGCCGGGGGGCCGGATACACCTGAGAGATCTGTGGGGTGAAGCTTATAATAACTAATTACATTAGGACTAGTGTAACTTAATTGGTGTGTATCCATATGATAATGAGTATTATGTGGAATTAAGCTTTTGCACTGTTCTATTACATACGTTAGTGTGTTTATCAATCCCGAAATTTCAAACATACGACGGATACTCATCATTGTCCTCAACCAACAGAGACGTCCTGTTTGTAATTGCCCGCCGGTGTCTGATTTATGTAGTTAGGTATTAGAATACCGTTTCTGGGAATTCCAGCAAGTAAAGAAGTATTTTCCGCAGCTCAACTCAACGAACGAACCCCTTTTTCCCCGCAGTCAACTCATTACCCTTCCCGTAAGGCACATCCAGATATATGGAACTGGATCTTAGGGAACTTCGAGAAGAGAGCATCCCCGAGTTCGTTAAATGCCGGTGGTGTCCAGTTGATTTCGGGTGCTAAAGGAGCAGTTCAGTTCTCCTTGTATCTGTGTAGCAAGCGAATGACCGTAAGCTCGGCATCTACGGGGGAAAAAAGTGCTGTCTTTAACATGCCAGCGCATTTTACTTGGCTGCAGGAAGAGATCGGGATTCTACCCTGTGGTTTTATCTAGAGATTGATTGCTCAAGGGAATCTTCATGGGACATGGGGCAGCAAGATATCAATAAGAATGGAACATCTCCAATTGCCGTGTCGTACCTCACCCTAACCACACGACTGGCATGCACTCATTTTATATCAGAGAGTTACTTTACACCCATCTGTAAGACATTTTGGAGACAAAACTGCCATTTCCTATATGCAGTATGATTCGGCTGGTTGTGCTCGCGAGAGATTTCAAATTAAAGTACGGTAAATTCTGAAGCACGTTGGAATTTAATCTCCTGCTAGGCTAGCAACTCGCTCTCTTGTCTAACTTGTCTAACATGCCCCCCCCCCTTCTATATACGGATTTCGGATTCGAGAGTTTAACGAAAAGGAATACCACCAAGGTCAGCCCGCGGTCCTACTCCCAGTCGACCGCCTGCACAGCCTCTAGCAGTTCAAGGCGGGAGAATAGCTTTGCACGGACTACATTCAGCTCGTCAATGGCACGGTGGATATCTTCTGCTGTGTTTGGCGACAAGCCCGGAGGGATTTTGAAGTACTTCTGCCCTGCTGGGGTGGCGGTATTTCTCTTCGACGGAGATGGAATAACGACCGCAGGACAGGGTAGTATTTTTGCTCTCGGCGTCGTCAACAGTTTCGGCTTGGGTGTTTCGCCTCCTGTGGTGCGGCTGTTCCTTTTCAAATCTCGCTTGGATGACCTTGTTCTTGAGGTTATGCCTCGTGAACGCGACGACCGCGACGGCCTAGGTAGAAAGGGTTCTTCTTCTTCTCCTTCGTCGTCCTCTTCGTCATCGTCGCCGCTTACATATTGCCATTCCTCATCGGTTCCTTTGATTGGCACGTCAATATGCATTCAACGAAAGGGGAGCAAAAGGTAACAGGATTCCAGATCGAAGATAAAGCAAAAACACAAAAAGTATGGATGGGACATGGATAGGAAGGATTCGCCCACCTTCAGTATCTCCATTCATAGCTTGGCGGTGGGAGCATTCTCTGGGAAAACTACGCCAGACGCAATTTGCGCAGGCTCCTGATCTGGGAGATTCCTCTCCGCTCACCTTGGCGACTACACATGTTGTGAACGGCCCACATCCCGATTGGCACCTGGTGCACATGTCCTCGCAGGAGTACACACTTTGGCCCCGTGTCTGGATAAGAACCGCTTCGCGCTGGGATGGCCTGTATATTCGGCGCACGTTGTACTCGTGGTTATGCTTTCTTCGCCGCCATATTATCCGCCGCAGACGAGGTAACTGCGAAATAGTATGCCCAATCGGACTCGCCGGGACGACTGTGAATCTGCGAATCTGGCTACCATGATTGACTGTTTGTATAACTTCTTCCACTACCGCGCCATCTGGGAAATGGGGACCTATTAGAGTGTTAGACGGAGGAGCTGTGCAGAGGATTGGGAACTTACGTGGTGGCGGTGGTAGTGGTATGGCGTATGCCGCTTTGAGAGATATACTGTTGGTCTTCATCGGAGCGGCCCACGCTGGTTATTCGAAAGGGCTGTTTAGATGGGGTTAGAAAATCGAGAAAATTCGATCTATGGGAAAAGACGAAATATGTTAAAACCGTGTCTATATATAATAGAGATGTCTGAGAGCTATAAATGATCATCACCTATACATTCATATCGACACCGGCAATGTACATGTATGTAAAGGTATGTACATTGTACATACATACATGTACACGTACATTATACACAAAGCCCGGCGGATAGATGCATCGTTATGGGTTGATGCAAGCTACCAGCGTTTGGTATCATGCGCAGACAAGAAAATAAACCCGTCGTCCCATAAGAACAAAATAGAATTCTCTGAACAGTCTGGACTGCTCAGGTCTATAGAAGCAATTTCCCAATAACACCCAGGAATGCCATCAAAGCCATTAACAACAACCCACCGCCCTCGACTCCCGCTCCCGTATATGAAAATGCAGCCCGCAACCCCACCGCCGTGTTCCCTGTCGGCATATTTGAGAAAACCAATGTTGTTCTGGACGCCGTGTGGTCCCCACTATTCCATGTATAATTCCTGCCCCCTTCCCTCAACCCCGCGTGCACGGTAAACGGTACCGTTGCGAAGTAATTCTCCGTATCATTCCCCAGCACTGTCACAGCCCGCGTATACGGCGATTCGCAATCCCGCCCCTGTGTCGGATGGCAGTGTATTTTTTCCTCACTGACACTATACAACTCCCACCAACATATAGTCCCTGTCGTCTCGTTGTCAACTAAATGCCACACGGGGGTGATCCATGGGTGCTTGCCTGCTGGGTATTCGTTTGACCATGGGCCATTGCTATGAGAATCCATATACTGCCAGGTGCCATCAGCAGCGAGATGTCCGTCGGAGGAATTGAACGTGACGGTTGACGGGTAGATGGGCTCCGTTCGTCCCTTTTTGGCGCACCGGGAGATCGTGAAGCTGGGTTTGGGCGTTCGGAACCCGCCCACGATGATATCATACTCGTAATAGTCGCTGATTATTGGGTCTGCACCCGATGTGTAATCCGAGAGCGATTTGCCTTCTGGAATGTTTGGCGGATACAACCATTGGGCCGACGTGTAGGGCAGGAGAGATGTCAGGCCCAGCAGCACTGATAGAGGTATTGTCTGAAGAACAGACACTGGGATTGGTATTCTCATCTTGACGGAACTATCATCGTTCTGCGATCAACTGGCTGGATCGGCAGAGTGCAGCCGTGGTATTTATTATTTGATTCCTGAATTACCACCCATCTTCCCCTTTGCAAAAATTGCACGATGTCTAGGTAAGCCTAGCGCAGACCTCGGGAATCCTCCGTGTCGCCTCATGGGGCGTTAGATATCGAACAAAGGGAGGAGAAACAGAAGTTTATTCGGCGCTAATTTCAGGGGTTGAACCCGATCCTTGGCCGTTTTGCTGCCAGAAGAATGAAAATTACCAATGGAAGAATTTCTAGCCACAACTACTCCTGGAAAAGCGGTGACAATATTTACTGAGTTTCATGACAATTTGCGTGTACATTGCCGTACTATCTATGTAGATGCTTTGTTTCATTCACAATATCATCTCCTTTCACTATCCCGGTCAGAGCGCGTGAACAAAAAGAAGATGCAGTCAAGGAGGGTATGAGTGCGGCAACCGGACTAGCTTAAATAGTATGTAAATAAAGGACAAAATGACAGCGTATGAGAGCATAAATCAGGAAGCTGTGTCGGATACAACTAACTGAGGCATACGGGCCCTGTTTCAAGGGAAGTTAAACAAAATCTCATCGCTTGCGGATCGACCATATCAAACAGACCTGAAAAGAAAAGGGAAAATACAAAAAAAGGAGATATCAAGCAACTATTTCTTCTTATCCTTCTTATTGTCTTTCCAATCAACACTCTTCTCCCCGTCCGTCTCTGGAGCGATGGTGGGCGCCGTCGTTGTGGTGTTGCCAGCAGCCTGCTCAGTTTTCAAACTCCCGTCTCCCTTGCTCCCACTTTTCGGATACTTCGCCTTTTGAATAAGAAACCCTTTTTCCTCAAGCGGCCGCAGCTTCATGCTTTCCCCGTGATAAAACTCGCATCGAAAGCGCAGATAGCGCTCACGATCCCTAAATACCGTGATTATATCGCCTGTGTACAGTTTTCCGAAGAGACGCGCATCCTTCGCCGGCGTCTCCTTGCGTAGCTCCACGTCATTAACCCAAATGCAATTGCTCGCCTTGGTAGAGAGGATGGCCATGACACCAGGAACCTTTCGCCAGTCTTCACCGGCTGCGATGCGGGATTCGATCGACGGTGCCCAGAAAGTGAGTTCGAGGGCGTAGGCCGGGATTCGGCTATCCATAGGATCAGAGTAACGAACATTGACTCTTGGTCCTCGGCCCCATGATGTCATGCGTGATTCGAGGTGGAGTGATACATCTGTGATTGAACCGGGAAGTGATATGAGCGCTCCGAAGGGAGGGGTGAGTCTCGGGGAGTTTGCAGGACTCGTGATCCTGGAGGCGAACCGCGTATTCGTCTCGTTCGCCTCGCTCGGCTCTTCAGGGGTATTCGAACCATCGACCTGTGCGACTTCCTCTCCAGTGTGCTCGTCGATAGTGGTGGAGAGCTCGAGCAGGTGTTTCGGGTCGAACGATTTAGATGTTTGTTCACGCACAAGACAACATGGATTGGTGAGATTTCTGGGCGTAACTTTCGGGGTAGGGATGGATTCCTGGCCGACTGATCTTCGATGTGCTTGGTCGGTAGAGTCGAGCCCACCAGGTTTTTGGCTTGAACTCCTTTTCTTAGCCTCGTCGTGGCCGCCAGATTTTGATTCCCGGGCTTGGGACGAGGGTGCATTGCCCACGGAAGATTCCGGGGTGGTTGGATTATTACTATTATGGGCTGTGGAGATTGGTGTTCTGACATCAGGAGATTCCATGTGCAACTGACCCACTAGTGATTCCGCTCCCATTAAACTTGGGGCAGAAGCACCCCGCTCCAACCCGATAGGCAGTTGTTGATGGTGTAGCTCTGCTGGATTATCAATACTGCTGAAACTTAGAGACGACTCCATCTCTGAGGAAGGGTCATCATAAACATCCTCATCTTGGAAACGAGGCTGGAAGTCAAACATTGCTGTTGGTCGGTTTGCGTTTCCTTCAAATGCGGCGGAACTCCTCAGAGCAGGCCCGGATATCTCCCCAAAAAGACGTGCCATGGGCGGCTGAGTTCCTTGGCCACCGAGACCAGAGCCTAGATCATAGCTACCAAGGTCTGGCAACGAAGGATATTTGATTATAGCTGGAACTTGGGCCATTACAACGTGCTGGCTTGAATCTTCAGGATAGTGAGAAAGTCGCTGTCTTTTGACGTCCTTGTGGTCAGTGGGCGTTTCGTCCTCAACCCCATGCTCCTGATCTTTAATTTCTTCATTTAAATCTTCATCAACTTTATCATTAAGATGAAGGCGAGAGGCGTCAAGCCTATCTGCTTCTTCATCTTCATTAGCCTCACCTACGGCAGCTAAAGTTGTGTCGATATCCTGAACTTTGGGACCGTCGAACTCTGTGTAATCAAGTTCGTCTGGAACGTTAACGATCCACGGGTGTTGGAAGCACTCGGGCTCCTTGGGTCTAGCTCTCGGATCGCGATTAAGAAGCTTCGAAACAAAATTAATACCACTGTCCGATACTCCAGCTTTTCGAAGCAAGTCATAATCTGCATCGGTTGTCATTATATTGCGCAGCATAGTTGCACCCCTATCATCTCCTCGGCCAGCGTAGGGCGCAGTTCCACAGAGGATATGAAATAACACTGCACCAAAAGACCACATATCTACCGATTGATCGTACGGCGATGTTCTAGGGACCCTAGAAACACATAGTTAGTACGCACAATGCCCGATGTGAAATGACACGAAGTTACTCACGAATCAGCAGCACGTCGCCTTTTCCTTGCCTCGCCCCGCCTATAGTTGTCGTACTCTGGATAAACTTCAGGGGCACAATATAAGAGCGTTCCACAAAACGTCTTCATGAAGGATTCTTCCTGGGCGACCTTGGAGAGGCCAAAATCTGAAAGCTTAACATGTAAGGGATCAAATGACTGGATTAAAATGTTATCCGGTTTGATGTCACGATGTGTTATCTTCCGTCTGTGAAGGTATTGGAGGGCATGTAAGATTTGTCGAGAGATTGTTTTTACCTGCTCCTCCGCGAGGTGATGACATTGATTAAGATAGGCGGATAATTCGCCACCGGGGACATACTCCATGATGATATAGATCCAACGGTTATCGTGATCATGATAGTCTCTGAATTCGACAATATTCGGCTACCTAGGATTAGTCTCCATAGGGTAAAGATATGTTTACCAAGAAAGGGGCCTTACATGTCGTAATCCGCTCATGATCAACATCTCATTGTTAACTTTGTGGTCTGAAATATTATTCTTCATAAGGCGCCGTTTGTCGAGCTCCTTGCAAGCGTAGACCATGCCGTCGTTTTTCGTTGCGAGTTTGTAAACCGTGGCGAATGCGCCTTTACCAACCTGTCCCGTGACATTATACTTGGAACCGCCATTCCAGTGCATCCCATGAGTATTGCCGCCTTGCTGAGGGACAATAAGATAACCATTACGTTGTGCCGCCTTTCCAGGCTTTGCTCCACCATCTCCATATTTTTTGGATGCGTTTTGTACTCGGTTCATGTAGTGAATCACATTCTGTGTGTACTCACGCTCAAAGCCATCCCGAGGAGGAATACGGACTATGAACTTGATGCCAGTGGTCGAATCATTCGCCACGTGAATGATAGAGCCGGGGACGAGCATTTGTGTGGAGGAAGCACCATACTTATTATCTTTCCGAACAACTTTGTCATCTACAAGGGTCCCATTGGTTGAAGTGTCTTGTAGCATCAAGATATTGTCGCGCGTTAGATAGATCCGAAAGTGCACATTTGATATCTTCTTTTCGCTATCATCCCGAGCGAGGACTATATCGCAGCGATTAGGATTACGACCGAAACAAAAGCCCATACTCACGTCTTTTACAGAGGATGAAAGCCTCAACGCGATGTCCCCGGGAGAGCTGTTGGGAAGTCCGGTGTCGTTTTCAAGATTGTCCCTTTGTAAGATATGCTGTGGGCCAAAACGCGCAGTCGCAGATACAGCATTGTGGGCTGCCATGGAGTTCGGATGTAAAACACAGATGATGTCGGGAACATCCTCTTCATCAAGCCCGGAGTTGTTGAGCCCTATCCGCCGAGGGTCGGCATATGGTTGCGTTGAAAGCTGCGTTGCTTCATCCATTGTGAACGGGGTTTAGGGAATGCGGAAGATAGTTCTGCAGCCGGGAAGTGAAGGGGAAGTGAGTGTGTTGTAGAGCTGATGGGTTTTGAAACTGATCGAAAATGGATGGAGATGGCCCCAGTTAAATACAAGAAATGGGACTTGTATGTGTGTGATTCATCAAAACCGTCAAGCAGGCTGAAGACCATGCATCCGCCCTCGTGGTGCTGCCTTTGCGAAGGTATCAGAAAATATGGATTACCCTCTCTGAAAGAAAGTTGTACGTCGGTGAGAGGATGAGTCCCGTAGGATCCTTAAAGATGCTCTGTTTTAGCGTCGGATGAGAATTGTCACAAGGGGTTCCAACCCCAGTCGCAAGGCGCAGTGAGGGTCTGCATTACAAGCCGTCAGTCAGTTTTCGAAGGCGATGGAAATTGAATCCAAAATATCGCGTGGAAAGTAAAGTTGGTCTTTTGAAAACGAAAGGGGTTCGTTGCCTGTTGCTTAGCAACGGACAAAAGGAAGGAATATTTATAATTGAGATTTTCCTGCAACGTCACCCTGCCAACAAAGACTCTGAAATGCCATACAAGCACCGAAAACAGCCTCCCCGAATTTTGGTGCCCTAGGACGAAAGGTTCGCAAGCTTACCGTTGCTCTGCAAGCGGCAGAGGAATTTCCTCAGCTGGCCAACGACAGGATAAATTCTTGACAGGCAAGGATAAGGCAGCGAGAAATGTGGTTCCAGCGGTCTTCCTTTGCGCTAAGAGACGAGTCACACCACGCGGAACTTTCAAACCAATGAGTATCAGTAGCCGCTCGCCTGGCGACAACGTCGAGATCAATGTGAGAGTCAGGAAGATGTAGTAGCCAAGAGACCTTCTGCCAAGGTGCCTGACTTTCCGGGCAGGTAATCGCTTCTGCCTGGACAATTATTAGAGGTTTTGAAGAGCTAGGCAACACCAGCCAACAACCAGTTATCCCAATGACCCAGAAATCTCATATATCTTGCACGGGGCGCCTTATTAGCTACGTCTGCTAGCCGACAGGACTGGGCAATCGCTGCTGCGAGGGGAACACTTGAGTGGCTCAAACAGAAATAGCGGCAATTAACCTAATCAATAACACATGATTTCCATCAGTCAACAATGCACCTGGCTCAAAATAATACAAAGTAAATATGTTTTGGGAGCACAATGGCTAGGCCTTGACTTACCCGTACCGTACCCATGGACTGGAGGAGCTTCTCCTTACTAGAAACTTGAGAGTTCACACAAAAATTGTGGTTCTCTAGAGAGTTAAGCAAGTCCAACAAGAAGGTTAACGCGGCCGCCGCGGATTAATTGCGGGAGAGCCGAACCCGTGGGCAATCTATCTTGGGGTGAGGCTAGCAAACGAGGATAATTGTGAAGCTCGATGGCGAGATATCGTGGTTGCGGCGAAGTCTCTCGGAATGTCGGCGTAAGGATAATCCTAGGCTGCCCCAGGCGTCAGGTGCTTGCTTAGGCAGAAGGTTCCCGGCCCGAGTCGTCCCTGGAGTTAAAACCCGACGCTTTTGCCAAATGCGGGGCCGGGGGCAGAGCCTCTCGGCCCCCGCCCCCGGGATCCCGTTGCCGAACCACCACACCCAGGAACCCTCAACCTTCACCAGAAGCTTAAACGTGCAGGGTTAAAGAGTCATATCGTTGATGCACAGCACTATTATAGCTTAACTACTCCGTACCATGTATTCAACTACCCTCTTGCCTGATTTTCCTAGGCACCGTGTGACGACAAAAGGATCTGCCGCCTATTGAACCCCTCCTCTCAGTTCATGAGTCAGATAGGAGGAGCGTGACTGGTTTCAGGCACCGTGTCCCCATGTGGCAGACGCCAGGATCGTCAAACGTTACCAACGTTTCATATTAGAGGTGATCCAAACAGTTGGGCGCGTTATGGGCATGTGTTTCAAAGCATCCGGTGTGAAAACTAAATCAGCACATGTTTCAGGAAGGAATTCACAACCAGACGGGAAAGGCTTCCGCACACAGACATGCGGCACCATCGACCAAAGTCATGACCACGTTCTCTACCTCCCACCCCATCGGGTGTTGATTGGGAAGAATATGAGCAGAAAACCCATTTTGTATTGCTTCAATTATCAATTATGTTCTATATTCTTGTCGTGAAGGGAATTTTTGCCAGCACTCAGAGCGTATGTGATTGTCTTCAGAAATTTGAGGCCACTTCGTGATCTTGAATGAGACGCCCAAAGCCACTCGAAAAATTATGGGAAAACAGCATTCGATAATTTTCGGGATTACCCTCTTCCATTCCCAAGTGACAATTTATTCCTCGTTTTTTACCCATTGCTGACACACGAATCTGAGTGAGTTTTCAGCAGCTGGAGAGTTCTGGACGGACAGTTATAAACGAGGAAGAAAGCTTTTAGTCGTTGCTACTTGCTACCGCGATAAAGAGAATCCGTGGACTGGTTCGGTCTTCCGCTCTACACAAACAACGCAGATACACGTTTTCTGGGCACGGCAAGAGAGCTTTATTAATGACATGGGAAGTGAATGCACGCCCGTTTACCTCTACAGTTGGAAGCTCAACCAGGGACCTACCGTGACAAAGGTCGAGCCCCATGTTACACATCTTCATAATACACAATCTTCACGCGAGCTCACGTACCGTGCATGACTGTCTCGGTACATACAATGCAGCTTCCCCGAGGAAACCCATGGCCATTACCAAGCCAACCCTGATAGACACTTGGTCCTGATTGAGGAAATCCTGGCAGTGTCTGAATGGCTCAATGTCACACAGCAGAAGGGGAAAAAAAGCCTTTACATGGGTTGATATCTTGTCTTGCTTGAACAATTGTCGTTTTACATTGGCGATATCTGAGGGAGATTAGTCGATTCGCGCTGGTATTAACTGTTCTTTTCTTTGCTTGCCATTGGTGTACTTTGATGTCATTTTTCTTGCATTTTTCTTTTTGACTGTTGGGCTATTGCGGAGTTTGCCTGCGCATTGAAGTAACTCAACCCATACGCACCGCTGACCAGCTATGGCAAGTAAGTATTCTGCGGTTGCTACCGTATCGTACGGAATTATCCAAAAGGTTAACTCTTTATGATATACTTCAGGGTTTGTCCGGCCTCTTTACGTTCGGATCGATTTGTTTGTACGGATAGAATCGCGTTAGTATGTATGGCTATATATAAATACCTCTTTCCCCTAGCTTGACAGGTTCAAATCGCTTGTACATATTCAATTCCCATCATTCCATTGCTCCAGATCTTGTTTTGCTTGCTACGTGAAAATCGTCGTCTCCAACATGGCAACCGCCCAACCCACCCCCTGCTGCCCCCGCTAGGTGGAAAATAAGGAATCTCACCAAATATTTGACAGAACAGGTACATCTCTGGACCCAGCTAGGGTTTACGACTTACTCATGGAACAAGACCAAAAAAGTTATTTCCACAGGTTTGATGTACTCTGTACAGAGAGGGAGGGAATAAGAATGAGAAGCTGTCCCTCCTATTTGTATGGGGATGTTTGAGAATGCGCCCACCCGGAATGATGATTAACATGCCACTAAAATATTAGGGAGGCCTTGACGAAAATAACTAGTTAACTGACTTAACTAGTTAACTACCGGAAACCGGAGTAACTTATCCCAGTGTAATGTGTGTGTGTTAGTCAGCAGCAAGTTGCATCTACTTTACCAAACCTTCACAATCTTTTACCAGCAAGCAGCCTTAACTGAGTTCATGCCCAAGAATCTAATGCTACCAGGTCATATGAAGGAGCATGGATGAGCGGCTAAATATTCAAATATTATCAAAGCCATTTATGAACATAGCTGCGTTGTTTTCTTGCTCGACTTGATGGCTGCCAACCCCATCATCTCCTCAGCGGCCTCTCTCCTAGTCCCTTGGGAGGCTTCCAGAACTGTAACCTGTCATTGCCGTAGATGCGACGCCCTGTTAGCAATCGCCCCGAACTCATGGACTAGCTGCGATTCCTACTTATTCACGCCCGGGTCGATCTGCCTATTTGACAATAACATCCTTTCCAATCCGCGTTCTGAGCCGCACCCAACCGAGGATGGACAATATCAGTCAACCATTTGCAAAAACTGTCTGGAAACTGTTGGGCAAGGGGTTCAGAAGGAAATGTTTAAAGATGGATATCCGTGAGTTGACACAATCGCGAAGCTTTATCCGAAGATATATATTAAACCCCTCAAGTCAGTTCAACCTCTTTTGGTCCTCGCATTCAATCCTCCTACGGGATCTCACTACTAGAGAGCTAGTCCCTTCACGCCTAGATGCGGTTACGAAACAATCGTCTTTGGAGGCCGCGGATCCAAATAACTGTGAAAAACGCACTTATCAGCAACAAACAGGTGGTCAATCCGGCAGTAAAGACAACGAAAGGCACCTAAACACCCCGTCTGCAAGAGCTACCTCGGACGAAATGCACGTCATGATCAACGAATGGAAGCATACAATCAGCTCTCTACGGGATGAGATTCAGTGCCTAAAAACTACAATCTCGTCCCGAAATCACACACCACAAGCACCATTACATGATGGCTACGAACTAATCGCCACGGCGTTGCGGGAAGTTAGAGCGAAAGGGATTGAAATAGAAGCGCTTAAACAAGAAAATCATTCTCTAAGGTTTAAATGCAGCCAGTTAGAAAATATGTTGTTAACTCGGGTTGAGCCAACCTCTGGTCTTAATAACCGTCCTTTTGTCGCGTCTCCGAATATAGATGGCGGGGCTCTAGTCTTGAATCAAAGAGATCACCCCTTAGACTTGAATTCCAACGGGAAACGCCCGTTCCCAGAAGAAATTTCTCTGTTTGATGCTGGGCGCGGTCAACGGAATTCAGAAGGACGGAATTCGACGGCGAACACGGCGTCTCAACCTCTTTATAACAACTCGCAGCCGATCCGCCTCGTTTCAAATATAACCCATCATGGAGGCTCGAATTCTGACACTGATGAACTTGCTGAACCGTGGCAGGGTCCAAAATATCGAGCATTATCTAGTAACGTCAATTGTAGAGAGAGCAATGCAAAGGATTCCCGCACAAGCCCAAACAAACGTCAAGCGCACGAGCGAAACCAAGCTTTCCAAGTCGACCCTACCAAACCAAGTCAAGAGAATGCTACCAGAAAGAAACCTCCTGGACGACCGCGAAGAGGGTCTTTATCCGCAAAGGCTTCGACGAAAAAAATACCTTTAAAAGAATCCGATACTAATACCCAGGTCACAACAAAGCCGCCTGGTCCTACGGAGGCCATTAACGGACAAGCCGTAGAGCCCCGAACCCTGGACAATCCTCAACCTGTGAACAGAGCAAGAAGAGCCAGTGCGCGACTCTCAAGACGCTCTTCCCTTGCTCCTCCAGATAATGAAAATACTCAGCATTCCTCCAGCACTGAGCCCAATCAGGTCCACACAGGGGAGGAACCGGTAGCACAGTTACAGGGTGGTGAACTACAAGAAAGCCCGTCCTCTCCTGCACCAAACATTCAGACCCATGAGCAAACGATCCCCAACTCTCAAACCGACAGTGATAACCCACCGCTTGATCAGAAGGATTCTCGCCCGATTGTCAACGAGCAAGAAGAATCTACACAGACAACAGCAAAATCCACAAGAAGCCTTCACCACCCGACTCGTGGAAGACGTAAATCGCAAATCGCAGCCCGCGATTCTCTCGCAAAATTAGCCATGCAGAGAGAAGAAGCGTTGGAAATGGCCGCAGGTTGAAGTGAGGAAGAGGTGGGGTGAGGAGCCAACGCTGATCGATTTTGGGCCTTCAGTTTTGTTTCCCTGTCAGTAAATATGCATTTGACAAGTCTATATCCAGTAACAGACATTAAACAGCTTAGTCAAGGTAGAAAGTTGATGGTTCTTCAATTGTCATACCCACTAGTCAAATAATTTTAGGGTAGCCAAATCTACCAACCCACCCCGAAGCCTATTAGTGTAGTCTATACGCTGCATCATGAATAGTTGCCTACCCACACCAGCCTTGAAATCGACTATACATACGGAGTATATGTACATGCATATGGAAAAGCGAATTCCAGATGTTATTTAAAGTAGGATATTAAAGCGGGATAACACACGAAGGTCTTGAAAAAAGACAGCAAACAAAATTGCCAGATTACTTTACAGTCATGAACCCACATCCTTCCCTCGCCCTCTGGCAAGCCTTCTTCAGCGCTTGCTCCTCAGTATCTGTCCATTTCACGTTGAGTTCATGCCACGGCTTCTGGCTGCGAAATTCCTGCATGTAGGTCTTATGTAGCTCCTGGAGACGGGAAACCTCCCGTGGGTCGCCTGTGCCCGAGTACACCATGAACAGCGTACATGGTGGTAAGGAATCAAAGATTCGTTGGATACACGAGACTGTTTTCGCGACTGCAGAGGCGAGGCGCTCGGATTCGGAATTATCACTTTCCGCACTTGTAACTGGGATTGCAGTAGACTGGTTTACATTGGACGGGTCAGGAATGCGGTTGCACCAGCCGCGGAAGACTTCCAGTTCACGTAGGCGCGCCCACGTGAAGTCTACACCACCGCCCGGCACCACGCGACCGTCCTCATCCCCATTGATAGCGCGGTTCACCGCATCAACCACTTCGTCATCGTTTCTGCAACCCAATGCAACTGTCGCCTGAGATCCAAATCCTCGTTCCGGATTGCCCCAGTCAACAACAGCTCCTGTTCGACCCTCTTTTGTCGCACCACTAGCGGCCCTCCCTGGGACACTGGCTCGTGAAAGTCGGCGGAATATGCTTTCGTTAGAAGCATCGCCTGTTCCCCACTGTTCACCCTTTTCGCACTTTTGCTTCACAAGTTCGAGTACGGCTCGTGCGTCTTCAATGGAATCATGTCCGGCCTGGCCTTTCTGAATTTCCTTCCCGAGGTATTTCTGCGATAGCCATTTTAAGCTTGATTTCAAGGGGGATCCGCGAGGGTGGGGATAGATGATTGAGGTGTCGATGATGAACGGGTGAGTTAACTTGAGGGCGGAGAGATCGGAATTGAGAGAGTGGCCGATTAGTATAGTATGAGGGCCCACTAAAGACAGCAACCTCTGTTGGACATCAGGCAAACGGGTTGTTACAGGATCCAACATTTCTTTCGTTATCCCGGAAAAACGTGTCAGGTAATCGATAATAGGCTTCTCCGGCTTGACCAATTCGTCCAGCACCACTTCACCATCCCAGGAGACAAGGCTAACCCGCGTGAGTTGCGAAGATCCTCCTTCAGTGATGCACATTTCACAGTCTAGGGACAGTATCTCTCGCCCTGATGTTATACTACCTTGTTGAATGTCATTCTCTGACACTGTACCATCTGAATACCTGTCAACTTTGGTGTCCACCCAACCATCATCGGGACCCTGTCCCAAAGAGGCTCGTAAATTCGCGTTAGCAGAGGCATCTTCGGGTTTATCGAATAATGCCGGATGTAACACATATTCGTTATCCATCAAATCATTCAGTGAACTAATAAAGGTTGTAATAGGCGTTCGTTTCGATGGCCAGTTGTCTGCGCCACGAGGAGGTTTCGGGCCTTTAGATTCATTTGTCTCTTTAGACTTTGGCAGAGCGGACAATAGAATTGCTTGCAGCGGTGAGTGCACCTTATTATATTTCGTGTCTCCCGGAGATTTAACAGGCCAAACATGTGGAAAAATCTCAGCTAACGGTTTGAGGGGGTCCGGTAGCTGGTCCGCCGCAAGCGATTTTGGGTTGAATTGAGCTGTGCTCGGTGCAGTTGGAAGGCCATTTTTCCATCGGTCAAATTCACCCGTGATTTTCTCGCTACGCTGGACTTCGGTCCACTCGCTTTCAGTATGCTGAGTCGTAGAATCGTCGGCATCATTCATATCCGATGCAGACTCATGGCGCTTGTCAGGTACCAATGGAACAGTACCGTCAAACATGCCAATCTCCAGACCAGGAACCATTAGGATGACCACTTTCCTGACATGACCAGAATGCTTCATTGAAATCCATTGCGGCGCAATGCCATCACCGAAGCAATAAAGGAGTAGTCCCTGCAAATCTGCAATTCTGATGGAAGATTGCAATCGACCTTCAATATAGGTTAGGGTTGGGTACTTCGTTTTTTCATTCCCTGCTCTCTTTCGCTTCTTCATTGGTGCCGCCGCTTCAGGCGTTTGGTAGGTATTGTTACTGTCGTTCCGGAGCATCGAAAGAGTCTCTGCTATGCCAAATCCAGTGCTGTTTTGGGGAGTAGGGGATGTGCTGCTGGGGCTGACATTCGCGCCTCGCACAAATGACTGCGAGCGTTTACGCTTTTTATCAGAAGTCATAGATCCCGCTGGCTAGAACAGAAGCCAGATAGTAACCGCCAAGCAGCAGTTGTACAAATCGCACGAACTGATGTGTAGCGGGTGAAAGGTTTTATGGAGAAATGGTTTAAGTAGTACCTTTATTCAATACAATGAAAGAACACAGGAGTGGCCATGAGATGATTACCAGAGCATGTTGCATATAGCCGAGAAACACTCAGCTTGTTTCTCGAAAGTTCGCATATACAATGCATTAAAATAATCACCTCGTTGGTTGATGCGCGATCCCTTCACGCGAAAATTTCCAGGACAATGTTATATCACATGACAAGCTCAAGCCCTAATTGAGCCACATGATCAGGAGCGTGGATGAGTAACTAATCGTCGAGGTTTCCTTCCCGAGTGCACGAGTCCATGAATTACGACAGCACGTATATGAAATGCAAAGCTGAGACTTCTTCGTCCCGTTTGCTGGGATTGGAGATATCAAATAGACGGATCATACTACGTGAAAACCAACTGCCATAGATAAAGGCTGAAAACGAATTGGATAGATCACAATGCTATTGCCAGCAACCCCTACTGCAAGCTACGACAAGATTCTCCCCCCTCTCAAACCCTCATAAGCAAAAAAAAAAAAAAAAAAAAAAAAAAAAAAAAAAAAAAAATCCGACAGCCCTAAAAGAGTCTCCAAACATAGTACCAGTGAAAGGTCCATACATATCGCGTCGAGGTAATTCTGTCGGAATGAGCGGATTCACGGCTCTGTGGGTATCCAGATAACAATATATAGGCTCTATCTCCTAGCGGTATACGTGGTCCGTGGTCCACTCGACGAGTCACTCGGAGCTGTTTTGAAGAGAAATGGAATAAACTTGTTTTGTCCTCGAATTTTCAAAACTCACTGATAACTCTGGTTGGTTTCATTAGCTGTCAGGGGCGTACGGCCCTCCTCGTTGGCCAAACGGGAGCACATATCGAATCACTTAATCACTCGATCCTTCGTGAACGACTCTATATCGTATATCAGACGGAATCTTTATATTGAAATGGGCACGGAAAGGGGCCACTAAGGTTGGATGAAGTATTCTAACTGAATATGACTCGTTAAGAGAAGAAGAAAATTCCTTAGTTATTGGGGCAATCCGACACAGAATCCGCCTAAGCTGTTGGGAGTGTCAGCAATATATGTTCTGATATCGGTCAGGCTGTGAAAGGCAGCTCGGTCTCAGCCTTCTTGTCGGGCCCCGATGGCTTCTGGTGGTCTAGCAACAAATATTCTGATTCACCAAGGGAAGTAGCCAGGGCTTCCAGGGCTGCGTATCAAGCTGTTTAAGTAGCTATATGTATGTACTGCACTGCAACTGCGTAATGCGCTAGAGATACAACCATGGCTTGGCATCCAGCTGCGGTTTGCTCCGTTTGCCTCTGCCACGTGATGTAACGGCACAATGATTATCCGGCACCAAGAACTCCAAAGCTCTGTGACAAATCTGATAACGCGATCGGACAATCTGATAAAAAAAATTACATCCGACCGCGGGAGATTCGCAGCATACAAATCCATCCATAACTACATCCCCCGGAGACATTGCCTTTGCCGTCGTCGCCAAATTCGCGAACTTCCATTTCTCTGTCCTCTCCTCCCGTAGTTCTCTGTATAACATCTTACTCGTCGCATATCCAAGTGCCTCTTTTCTCTCCAGCTTCCAATAGGACCTTTATTACTCGAGTCATACCCCGCCTTACAACGGGATATATCCAGCTTGGAACCCGCAACCATGTCAACCCTGAACGAAATTGCTTCGGAAGAAGCCTTCTATAATCATATCTCCTCCCTCCCATCATCCGCTCTTCTAGTCCTCTATTTCCACACCCCCTGGGCTGCACCATGCACCCAGATGCGCACCGTGCTCTCCACCCTCGCTTCTACCTATCCCGCCACCACTCCGCCCGCCATCTCCTTCGTCAGCGTCAACGCTGAAGAGCTCCCGGATATCTCCGAAGAATATGACGTTACTGCAGTCCCTTTTATCGTCCTTGTCCGCGACGGCAAGACCCTCCAGTCCCTCTCCGGCTCCGACGCAATCAAAGCCCGCGCCGCCATTGAACAACACGGCGGTGCGACAGCAACGGGCAGTACCACCGGGGCAGAAAAGCAATCCATCCCCCCCCCTCTTCATGCAGAACCAAGAAAAGACCTCTCCACCTCTAGCACCTCTGATACCCCTGGCGCCAACACAAATGGGGCAGCCGCAACCTCCACCTCCCCCACCCCACCGCCCACGAATGAAGAGCTTTTCGCCCGTCTGGATGAACTAGTGAAGGCTGCCCCAGTCATGCTATTTATGAAGGGAACACCAAACGATCCGCAGTGCGGCTTCAGCCGGCAGATCGTCGCTATACTTCGTGAGAATGGCGTGAAATATGGCTTTTTCAATATTTTGGCGGATGAGGACGTGAGGCGGGGCTTGAAGGAGTATGCTGATTGGCCGACGTTCCCTCAGTTGTGGATAGGGGGCGAGTTGGTGGGTGGACTTGATATAGTGAGTTATTCTTTTAATTTTCTTTATATGTATAAGTTTTCTATGGGCCACGTTTGGCCTCCCTACGCTTCTCCTCCTGGGTTTCTTATCCTGGACCAACCCAACTGTGAAATGCCAGTAACTAACCTGCGGCTATTCAAATCCCAACAGGTCAAGGAGGAAGTCAGCGCAAACCCGGAGTTTTTCAAAGATTACTCGGTAGCACCGCGAGGATAAGCATAGATATCTTTCGTTCTTTCCACTCCCCCGATTAAATTGCGGAATGCAATTTCTTCAGTAAACTCTTCCGTCTTGAATTTTCGTATTCAGATCTATTTCTTACGACTCTCTACATCTTCCGTGGTATACTTGTTCTAAAAGCAGTTCGACCTTCTCCCGCTTTTCCCTAGTGCTATCTCCACGCATGGGATAGTTGAGCATGAAAGCAACGTGGGCCACTTGGCATAGTATCCACCCTTCAAATCGGACTGGGCACTTTCCGAGAGAGGGTTTCCCGGGATGGATACAGCAGACAGCAGGTTATAAAGCCCAAAATCAGATAATAATGCAAAATCAATGGAATTGAGGGGATTGCCAATTAAATGTAAAATAACACGAGAAGAGGAAGTGGAAATATCGAATTCTAAAATACAGTGCACAATTGCCAGTATATGCATTTCTAAGATCACAATCCCTAGCTCCTCGCTTCACTGCATACTGATTCCTTCTCCAAATACTATTCCACCCACTGAAATGAAAAAAAAAAAAAAAAAAAAAAAAAAAAAAAAAAAAAAAACTTAGAATCGCCCTGACCAGATGCTGAACAATAAGATTAGTCAATATAGCTAAACTACATATTTCTTGACCTCTATCATTCGTTCAGGGGGATTCACAAACGCAAGGGCCCAAAAGCTCGGAGCCCTTGCCTCTGGGTGTCTTGACTTTGATCCTCGACTTCTTTAAACATCCTTCGTAGCAGTCTGCGTCTTCTGCTCATATAAACTCGCTACAAGCTTGCGTGCGGGGTGGTTCATCCAACTGAACTGATCCCGTTGACTCAGCTGGCGATATGTCGACTTCAAAGCATCCTCGTCCACGTATGCGCCGCGCAACCATCGTTCGCCGCTGTTTTCCCCATCGCTGGCCCCGGAGAGGTCAAATGCGTTCCTCGCATGAACCACACGACGGTTTTGGAATATCACGCATTGGCCCGGTTCCAGTTTAATTTTGAATATGTTCTCTGGCTTGGCAAGCTCGGCAGCAAAGGCTTTCATGGCTTTAAGGTAGAGTTTCACATCCGAAACGTCTTTCACGCGCTCTGTTAGGTAGGAAGGTGCTTGGAACGGCGGGGAATAATTAACGTAGTTGACGTAAGGGGTAGTGCTCGTCTTGGGCGGGTTTCCGAGGAATTCCTCTCCAGCCTCGATTTCGATTGTAGGATGGGAATATTGGTAATGCTGGTTGTTATTCTTGTACTCGAAACGAGTGGACGTTCTGGCAAGGGCGTCGAACAGAGAGCGATCGTTTCGCAGCAAACGTACCGCCGCCAGGAAGGTGTCTGCGAAGAGCGACTCGCCGCCTTCGAAGGAGTTCCTTAAGCAGTGAAGCAACTGATACCCAGGTGGGTCCTTCATATACAACAGGTCCATGTGAAAGTCAAGGTGTTTATTGGTATAGGCAACATTTTTGGCATCTGGAACACTGCGGACATCCCATGTTTGGCCGTAGAATGAATTGCGCAACGGGCCCATGCGGGTCGCAATCTTCTCAACCATCTCAGCCGAATCCGGGATGTCCTTGACAAAAAGCAAGCCCAAGTGCTTCAAACTGCGCATGGCAAGGAAAAATTGTGAATCGTCCTCCATATAATCTTTGAACGAAACCCAATGCTGGTTCTCCTCCATAATGGATTTATTCCAAGAGGTGCGGCGGCCCTCCTTGGCTCGGAAAAACTTCTCAACCGCGGTCATAATAGACAATTGCTCTGGGGAAAATGTCGACACATGGGACTCGTCATAACCAGGGATATCATTTTGCCATGTCACTACCAATTGGCCATCTTGAACTTTGACAGTCTCCACGGCAACGTCATCGGGTATATCAGTCATGCGAAACTCTCGTTGTTTTGTCGACTGGTCGACACACTTGGGACAGGTACAGGCATCCCGTAATCGAATGCTATGGATATAAACCAGTTGTTGGTTTGCGGTCGTAATCATCACTGTGCCATTCTCGCCAACTGCGGCAGACTTGACGGAAGGGATTATAAAGGACCTCATGGGTGATCCTCCGACCATCCGCACGAGCGGCTTCCCATTTGTTGTTGATTCCTTCCCAGGTGCATACGGGATCCTCCTCACGATCGGTCTAGATGCCTCGGGGGCAGTCTGGGTTTCGGCGGAATCGCTGTAACCCGCTCGCAGCTGTAGAATAGACGGGTACACAATTTGGCCGGCAGTCCGTCGAAGCTGGGATGAAGCGGCCAGCCTCGCTCGAGCCTGGCGCAGAGGCGCGAGAGCAAAAGACATGGCGCCAATCTCTCTGGGGAATCTAAGCTATCAATAAGCGAGGCAAAAGAGCGCCTAATTGTTGCCACTGGGTCGTCTATCTGTCTGCCATTCGTCCTTGTTGTTGTTGTTGTTGTTGTTGTTGTTGTTGTTGTTGTTGTTGTTGTTGTTGTTGTTGTCGTTCTTGCGAGCCGCCATAGGGGAAAAATCGCCCGGCAGTATCGAATCACGTGATTCGGAGGATTTCTGGATATTTATTTCCTTTGCGATGAATTCAATCCTTGTTGTTCTTGGTGTTTCCAAATCCATCCTTCAGCGGTTTAATAGTTATATCTTGTTTAAGAGAGCAATTCCACCCATGTTCTCTTTGGAAATCTCCAGTTAACCTTTCGAATCTCTTCGGTCACTACCGAAAAACGGGAGAGACCTCTGCTCTACTCTTGTCTGTGTATGTCGGCTGGGGGAGAACATCTCAATGAGGAAGTGAGTGGGAATGTTTCAATCAAAAATTATATATGCAGCGGCCTCTTTTCTATCTGGATTTGAAAACTAATATTTCCGGAATTTATAGGGCAACAGAATACAGGTAGTTGCTGCAGGCGCAGCTGCTGGCCTGGTCTCGAGGTACGCAGCAATATACCTGGAGTTTATACCTTTAAAACGTTCTAACAGACCTTAGATTCTGCATCGCACCCCTCGATGTCGTCAAGATCCGCCTGCAGCTCCAAATTCATTCACTATCCGACCCCCTCTCCCACCGCGACATCAAAGGCCCTGTATACAAAGGGACACTCTCAACCCTCAAGTCTATATTCCGCGATGAAGGCATAACAGTACGTCCAATCCCTATCTTTCCTCTTCACAACCCCATTGAACCAACCAACTAAGTACCTGAACCCAAACCTCCAGGGCCTCTGGAAAGGCAACATACCCGCTGAACTCCTCTACGTCTGCTATGGCGGCATCCAATTTTCCAGCTACCGCGCCGTCTCTAGCGCCCTCCGCGCCCTCCCCCCTCTCCCTCTCCTCCCACACCCCATCCCCCAGCCCGCCGAATCATTCATCTCCGGCGCCGTCGCCGGCGGCCTTGCCACCGCCTCCACATATCCCCTCGACCTCCTCCGCACCCGCTTCGCCGCCCAGGGCAACGACAAGATCTATGCCTCCCTCCGCGCGTCCGTGCGCGACATCGCGCGCACAGAGGGCCCGCGCGGCTTCTTCCGCGGCGCCACCGCCGCCATCGCCCAGATCATCCCGTACATGGGCCTTTTCTTCGCTGCGTACGAGGCCGTGCGCAACCCCATTGCCGGCTGGGAATTGCCGTATGGTACGGGCGATGCGGGCGCGGGCGTGGTGGCGAGCGTGATTGCGAAGACGGGGGTGTTTCCGTTGGATCTCGTGAGGAAGCGGTTGCAGGTGCAGGGCCCGACGAGGGCGAGGTATATTCACACCAATATCCCCGTGTATGAGGGGGTGTTGAGGACTATAAGGGATATTTTGGCGGCGCAGGGGGTTAGGGGGTTGTATAGGGGGTTGACGGTTAGTTTGATCAAGGCTGCGCCGGCGAGTGCTGTGACGATGTGGACGTATGAGCATGTTTTGGGGTTGTTGAAGGAGATGAATCGTGGTGATCATGGTGATGGTGGTGGGGAATAGTGGTGCGGAGTGGATTATAAGCTGTTTTTACGTTGGTCTGAAATTTTGGTAAGGGTATGAGCCGCTTTTTTGGTTGTATTATAAGGGCACCTGCCCATCAGGGGAGTTCTGGTGTTTCTCTATGCTCAAATGGGAATGGAGCCAGGATAAATCCTTACAAGATATTGAGCACATGCTTGGCTAGTTAGGATACATATATACTTGAGCAACACTGCTCCTTACACTTATCTATACATTTCCTGGATACGTTTTCTTTGTATTGCACTGTACATATACGCACCCGGCATGCCTTCCAACCCAGTAGCTTGTGCTAGGTTTGCTATAGTATGTACCTCCTACGGACGGCAAAACTATCTCCATTGTGAGCTATACTTTCGTCAAGTGGTATACCTCCCACGTTACCTCAATCGAAAACAACTAAAGACCCCAACGGATAGGCTTGATAATTACGTCGATACCAACTGTCCCACCTCGACGTCAATTTTGCTATACTATGTTATCCTTATGTACGAACGAAAACATCCGACAAACAACACTTTTCACTTCACAACAAGAAACGGACATTAAAAGAGAGCATCTCAAACGAATAGGATTGAATTAAAATAAGATGGTATAGCTCAAAAAGGATGGCACTCGCATAGACGTTGGCGCTGGCATGAGCAGGGAGAAACAATACAGAGACGGTTTCAAGAAACAAGGGGGTTGGTTGTTTGGGAATGGGGAAGGCAAGGAGACGTATCATAACAGACTATTGTGTTCTGCTTTCTCTCTGTCTTGTCTTGTAATTTCAAATAAAAAAGAAGCAGAGGAAACTTCGAAAAATGGGGTAGTGACTCATGTCATATTTAATACTCAACACCCTCATCCCCTTCCGTGTCCAGACTATCGCTGGCAACCTCCTCGTAATCCTTCTCCAACGCAGCAAGATCCTCACGTGCTTCGGAGAATTCGCCTTCCTCCATTCCCTCGCCAACATACCAATGCACAAAGGCGCGTTTCGAGTACATCAGGTCGAACTTGTGGTCAAGACGGCTCCAGGCCTCGGCAATTGCGGTGGTGTTGGACAACATGCTGACGGAGCGGTCGACTGGAGCGAGCTCGCCGCCTGGCACGCGCATGGGCTTCTGGTAGTTGATGCCGATCTTGAAGCCAGTCGGGCACCATTCGACAAGGTTGAAGGAGGTCTTAGCTTTGAGGGAGGCAACAGCGGCGTTGCAGTCGCGGGGGACGACGTCACCGCGGTAGAGGAGAGCCACGGCCATGTATTTTCCATTACGTGGGTCGCAGACGACCATCTGGTTGTTTGGTTCGAAGCCTGTATTCATGTTAGGAGCTGATCCACTTGGCTGGTTAGGGGGATTGGGTTTGGAGGGCGATGTGATATTTACATTGGAAGGTAAGGTCGTTGACCTTGAAGCTTTCATGGGAGCTTCTGTTGCTGGATACAACGGGTGCGTAGCTGATGAGGGGGTAGTGAATACGAGGGTAAGGGACCAAGTTGGTCTGGAACTCGTTGAGATCGACGTTCAGGGCACCATCGAAGCGCAAGCTAGATGTGATGGAGCTGACAACTTGGGCGATGAGGCGGTTGAGATGTTCATAACCAGGGCGGGGGATATCAAGGTTGCGGTGGCAGATGTCGTAGACAGCTTCATTGTCGACGAGGAATGTGCAGTCAGAATTCTCAATGGTGCTGTGGGTAGAGAGAACGGCGTTATATGGTTCGACAACGGCGGTTGAGACACGGGGTGCTGGGTAGACAGCGAATTCGAGCTTGGATTTTTTGCCGTAATCGGTGGAGAGACGCTCCAAGAGGAGGGCACCGAAACCGGAACCGGTACCACCGCCAAAAGAGTGGAAGATCAAAAATCCCTGGAGGGACGAACAGTTGTCTATTGTAAGTGCTTTTTAGTGGTCTGTTCATTCGAATTGGGGGGGGGGGGGGGGGATTGTAGCATCCACGAGTATCTAGAAAATAAACCAAAAATGGCAGTCATACCAGCAACACGGCGAATTCGGTCAATGACACTGTCGACAAGCTCCTTTCCGATGGTGTAGTGACCACGGGCATCTGGTAACAGATGTGTCAGCAGTCACAAATTTCTCCAATCGGCACAATGAGAGTCCCCTATCCATACAGTTGTTTGCTGCATCTTCCTTTCCGCTGATCAACATTTCAGGGTGGAAGAGCTGGCGATAGGGACCAGTGCGGATTTCATCGATTGGCTAAATATAGTCCGTAAGTTAACCAGTTAACCAAACCCTGTCATCATGCTCCTTTTCACTTGGAAGATCCTGGTTAGACATACGGAAGGGTCCAAATCGACGAAGATAGAGCGAGGAACATATTTGCCGCTGCCCGTCTCGGTGAAGAAGGTTTCAAAGGACCCAGCTTCACCAATGTCTGTGGCTTCGGGGTCCAGACGACCATCAGCCTTCAAACCGTGTTCGAGAAGATATCTGAAATTTTAATAGACACGTCGCATTGGCGGTTAGTCATGGTACTTAGAAATGCAGGTGTAATTTCAGGCGTGATCATCAGGGAAGATAAGCAAAGTGGAAAAGCGGTGAGGGAATAGAGGGATTTGGTAGCGTACAGTTCCCAAGCACTGTTTCCAAGCTGGGTACCAGCCTGGCCGATATGGAGATGGCAGACCTAAAGGCGTAATTTTAAATGTCAGCATCATATCAAAACAACACAATAATATATGGGGTGTGTAATCGTTATATTTTGATGGACGGAAGGGATTAACAAGTGTATGTGAGCTAAGGGGGAGGAGGGGAGGGGGAGGCGTTGTTGTGTGCCAACAAACGCGGGTTGAAATAGGGCGTGCAGGGGGTAAACAAAGGGACATTCAAGAGCAACGTACCTCGCCTCTCATGATGGCAGATGTGATGCAAGACGTGGGAAGAGGAAGAGAAGGAGAGACAATGGGGATGGGCGACGAGGAGGAGGAGGAGAAGGAGAGCAAGCAATCACCAAAAGACGGCGTTTGGAATGGAGAGAGAGAGAGAAGAGAGGAGAGAAGAGAGGAGAGGAGAGGAGAGGAGACAAGGGCAGAGGTTGAACGTGAGGAACTGCCAAACACATCAAAACCGTCCAACACGGTTAGCGTCAGCGGCCGCCAAGAAAAAGGGGGAGAGGGGATGCGTTCTGAGATCACGTGGATGAGGTGCTGTCCACTTCATGTAGCCGTTCTCAGTGTCAATCACAACCACCACCACCACCACCACCACAATCATCATCATCATCATCATCATCATCATCATCATCTCTTCTTCGGGTAAATTGCTCTGTTCTTCCCGGATGTAGAGAGAGAGAGGCCATTGTGTGTTCACTATCCAGAAATCAAGGCAAATAAATAAACAACGGGCTCCCCTGTCCCTCTCCTGCCAGTTCCCACGGTTCACCAAAACTCTCTTCACGTCACTTCGAATAATCTATAGACGGAAAAACATGCTATAACTATCTATATCTTTAATTCATCATGCCGTGCATTTTGTAATGTACAGTACATACATGTATAGTACATTAAAATATTATATCCCCTCCATCCTTTCTACATTGCACCTATGTCGAGACCCCTAGTGCTACCCATATTTTGTTAGTCATAGCACCTCACAGTCACAGCAATCATTTTCTACTGGCCACAGACTACAGTACTAATGAAGAACTCGATATGTCTCTGCTTCGTGTGCAGCATTGGTTACGGTCCGGCGTGTATCACCAAGGAACTGTCGGGCAATGGTTGGCCGACTGTTCCTGGGCACCTCGCATTTCCAGCATGGTAGCCAGTGAACCACCTCTCACCAAGCAAAGTAAGCATTCGATTGGAAGTGGCAGGGACGGCGCAATACTGCTACGAGGCTATCTTGTGAAATAGTAGTACTAGACCATCACCTAGATTGGAGACGGAATCCGTCCACCACTGACCTTTCGTCAATGAGCTCGAGTAGTAAGCGAAGATAATGCCTGGGTAAAAATCTTTCTCTTGAAAGCTTATGGAGGGTATACAACAGCCGATTTGCCGATTTGTCAAACATTTGCCAAAACATAAATAAATTGTCCCGTCGTCAAAGCATACACTATTCACTTCAACTGCTCCGTCAGCCCCACATGCTTGGGATTCATCTTAAGAAACATATCAGTAAAAAGTGGTGCACTATACCTCCTCACACTCAATGAGGCAGCATCGGATCCTTCGGAATATCTCCCAGCATAGCCCCAATCAACCAGCCAGACCTTGTCATCAGGGCCTAATATCAGGTTTCGGGGAGCAATATCCTGATATGTGAGAACTAGTTTGTCGATGCGAAATTGTGGAAGAGTGCTTGGGGATTGTTTGAAATGTTAGCAGATTGTAAGTTTGCTGTTGAACCAGTCTTCCAGGTCCTTCTTCAAGTTGAAGGGCCTGCCTCCCATACTACTGAACCAAAAACCCTGGGCCAAGCATATTTTACAGCCCACTGGTCCTGGATCCTGGGGCACCGGAGCGGACTGCAGAGTATTGAGTATAGAGGCTGTTTGGATGACAATCTCCACACGTTCCGTTTCAGTCAGACTGTTCCAAAAATCCTCAACTACTCTGCCTTCAACGAAATCCATTACATCAAGCATTTGCAACCGAAATAAACATTTTCAGTCTCAATGTTGAGGATTCGATGAACCTTGGGGACCGGAATTGAGGATTTTTTCGCCAACAAGCTTCAGAATGCTAGCTTCACATGGTCGTGCATTGACACCGCCTTTAAGAATGAGTGTCCGAGACAGGCGGACGATGTGGGTTCCCTAAAAGGAGTGGAGGACTGGCGCAGTGTCAAAAAGACCGATAAGAGTTTCATCCGAGACTTTGGAGATGTCACAATCATCCAGAGGAAATCTGGTCTGTGGGTTTAATGCCGCTGGCTTGGGGGTTTGGCTGATTGACCCACATGAACTTCTTAGTTTGCCGAAACCAACCACTAATGCCAGACATTCCCGCCAACGATTCAACGAAGCGGAGGACGCTGCATAATAATCGCCCAAAGATTTCGTCGTTGTCACGTATTCTGTGAACTTGAAAGTAGCTTGGAGAAGCCGTCCGCCGTAAACGTGTGTTTCTCGAGTGAGGACAGGCGGAAAAGGTAAGATGGGGAGCATGGGATGGATGGGAGTTCGTTCTTCCTTTCAAGCGAGTTTGGGGAGGGGACGGGAGGACAGCGCTTAACCACGCCTGCAGACAAGAAAGACAAACGCTTGTATCGGCGCTTAAGGCTAAGAATAGATCACCAACCAGCTTCCAGGGACGACCTAACTATCATACCACAGTAATACTCTGTAACTACAGATTACCACACGCCAACTCGAATTGATCTTAGTTTGCTTTGCGAGGATTACCTCGGCGTATCGAACCTGGACTTGCGACACAAACTATTGCCCTTTACATATTAGCACAGTAACAAAAGGTAAATTAATTAAGCTTTCGGGAAGGGTTTATGCCTGAAATTAAAGAATGGACGGCGGAGGATTGTGGAGTCCTGATGAAAAATTGTTTCACTGAACGATGTGCAAGCTCGAAACGCGCCGCAGTTCCCCTAACTAGTTAGTTACCCAAAACTCACGCCGTCTTAAAGATATCGTTGGGTGCAGAGCACCGCAGAATATAGATATATATCCTTATCTATCCTTTATGCATCCTCAACATAACTGCGGAGTATAGAAAAGCTTGTCAAACCTATTGACTCCCATATGTCTGGGCTACCTCTCTCCAATCCACCACGGAAACGTTCTCCCGTTCAGAGCACCATCCGAATGGATTATCGCAACATCAATCAAAAAAGCAGAAGCTTAGTTAGCAATTCACCCAGGTATCAATCACTACCAGGATTTTGGGACAACCTTTCAAAAATCTGGCTAACTAAAGGTGCGCTGAGAGAGCTAAACTGAAGGAACAGCCAAACTGCTCTATTCCCATATGATTTGCGCTACTGAAAACCCCATAGGCCACTCACTCAGCAGCTTCTTGCTGAGCTGGTGAGAGCATGCAGGTGACCCAGTACAATCCCAATTTTCTCCCCACACGTGTGCATCGGATATTTTGAAAGATATAAAACAGTTTTCCAGGAACAGTGGTCCGAATTTGTCAGATTTAAGAGGTGTAAGTCTTTCCCAGATACCTCTGGCATCGGAGCTGATCATTCTCATTCCAGTACTTGGAATCTACAGATCCTCTTGAGCATACGACAAACTTGAGCCAGCTCAGTTCTGCTCCATCCTTAAAAAGCAGAGAAACAAACACAGAGCACTGAAACCACCAAAACCACCAGCCCCACAGCTTATAAACGTAACTTTGAACAGAAACTAATTGATCATGGCATCTAACCCCCAGAATATAAGTATCCTAATGGTCAGATCCCACCAATACTGAACAACTGGGGGGACATTAATGAAAGATTAGTCAGACCTCAATCTTCTCTTTCATCATCAAAATTTTCTGACAAAGAATTCAGAGAATTCAGGAAAGCAGATACACATGCATCTAAAGAGCAATCAGTAACGGTCTCAGTGATTCCAATTATTGAAGATAAGATCTGTGATCTCAAATGTGCTGGAGGGGGATATTCATTTGGAAACCTTGCCACTCTGACTGATGCAGCTAAATATATATATATATATTTTCAGCATGGAACTACTGCATATCGAAATGCCCGCGACTGGGCGAAGGAGGTGAGAGACACACTTATTGAGGCTGCGAGCAAAAAGGTACAGAAAGTCTATACAGAATCTCAGCATTTTGCATCATCTGGCAATGGGACAGTTTCTATTTCAACAGCTGGCTCAGTGTGATACTTCAGTTGACGAAACGGACGCTGAGAGTGTGGACGCCCGGCAATGGAGTTTTACGAATCATAATGGAGACGACGAGGTGGAAGAGGGAGAGGATAATACCCTAGAAATAGGTAGTAGGTAGGGACGGTTCAAAAAGCAAAAAGTTGGAGGCAAGAAAGTGCCATGTCTGACAAATGATTGACCATACCTTGTACATGTACATACGTAAGAGGTGTCAGAAGTTAGAAGAGAAGAAATCTTCATCAAGTTTACCTACTTCATCACAATGAAAATAATGAATATCATTTCACTTTGAGATTATATTCATGAAATCATGGCCTTGCTCTCTTCTGTGACTCATTTTTATAGATTGACCCCATTGGAATTGACATGACATTGCCTTTGATCATACTGGGGAGACTGCACTGCTAGCAAGGGGATGGAGCAAAAGATGAACAGGATGTGCATCAAGCATTCTTTCTGACACAAGAAATTCATCACAGTTTCATATACCATGATGACATGAGGGGTCAGACTTTTATCAATCCACATTCAAGAGGATGATGTTCTTACCTGTCTTGTCGCTACTATAGTTATGAGTGCTTGTGGTCTTTTTTATGCAAACCCTAAGTTAGAGTCTGCATGTGATCTCACTCCATCAATTCTTGCTTGACAGGGGTAACTAGTTAGAGGTTATACAAGGGGGGTCCTTGATGGCATTATAATTATCTGCACATGCTATGCTATCATATTGGTTATGATTTTTCTCTCAACTTTACTGTATTATAAGCTCAATACGAGTTTATGTACTCAACTAGTAACTTATTATTGAACCTTTAGACATTTGGAGAATTCAAATTCAATATTATCACATAATATTTCATTGCTTTAGTGTTGTTGTGATGAGTAGATTTCTTATTTATGTACATGTGTATAAGCTCTGTACAGAGTAACTTACCTATATCCTGATCGTTGTCTAGCTCTTTTCTTTCTTTTCTTCTCTTTTCAAGGCCACGGGTGGTGAATTTATCATCTCCTCTTCGCTCACAAAAAGGTGGGGCTGATGGATGCAGGTAGCATATTTGGCATTATCATTACTATATTTTCACCAGGTCGGTCTAGTTCTGCGGACCCCAGGAATGGCTAAGAGGAGGAGGGGGAAAAATCCCAAATCTCTAATCCCTCATGATGGTGGAAAATATCAAAAGCCAAGAAGCCGAAAAAGGGGTTCCCGACGTCGGATGGCGGGTAGTTTTTATGGCAGTACAGTACGTAGTTACTGTACTCCGACTTGGACTAACTAATAATAGAATCTTTGATCTTGAAATAACTAATGGTTCGGTTGACCCGTACTGTACTGTACTGTGCGCAGCGGTTTCGCATTTCTGTGCCTGGATCCTTTCTGGGTTTTGAAACATGAAATTAAACTCTTTTTCCCCTTCCCCGTTTGTCAAGCCGTTATTATTTATTATTATTAGCCCGCGGGTGGCGATGGCTAGTTAACACCTTGATCACAATGTGGAATGTGGCGTGTTGCGAATGGAATAATGGGTTCGGAGAATTTTGTACGCTGCGTATTAAGAGGTGTATACATAACAGCTAGGATCTCAATTCATTTTACTATAACGATGAACTATTATTATTATTATTATTATTCTTCTTCTTCTTCTTATTATTATTCTTCTTCTTCTTATTCCAACGACAACATCAAGCCTGTTTGTTGCGGTGCTTCATTTCGTTTTATCTTGTACTGTTACCTGTACATGTACTGTACATTCCAGGAACTAATGCCCAGGAATGCCAAGGAATGTCATCCCCACTCCCCACTCCACTCCAATGACACTACTAGCTACAATCTCCACTCCAACGAACCTCCAGAACTCCAGGAGGAAGAAGAATCCATGAGCAGTGAATAACAGTGGCCAGAGGTTTGCTATTATTGTCTCCACCAGCACATCCACCCATCTGCCCGTGTTACGGCATCAGTACGGAGTAGTTAGTGTCAGTGTTGTGGTGTGGTGTGATTGGGTTTTAAAAAAAAAAAAAAAAAGGACTTGTTGCTCTGCTGTGTTGGGACCTCACCAGGAGCTGGTATAGTTACCCATTATCCGTCACTACTAACAACTACAGCGGATCTTCCCCGTCTTGAGTCTTGGTTCGCGTCGCATACCTACTTACATGTACAATATTATTAACTTATTACTACATACTGTACATGTACTGTACATGTACATTGTCTTTAGCCCTTGAACTACGCAGCGGGACAGTCCCACTCTCCTCGGAGTAGTCGACTAACTAACTAACTACGGAGTACAAGAGAAAATAAAATCTCTTCTCCTCTCGGTCTCTCCCCGCTCCGGACAAGAACAAGAACAACAGAACAATGGCCATCCGCCATTGACTGGCTTCGTCATCGTCCCATCCCCTTCTCCCTTCTTATTCCCTCGCTTTTATCCAATTTTTTATTTATCTCTGTTTTTGGCATACCGCTACCTCCCCTTTCTTTCTCCGTCTTTTCTCTTAATCTTGCAGATCGCATCTTGCCCGATTCTCGAACTACTCCACTATAACTTATCAAACAATAGCCCCTCGTCAAACCACAACCGCCAGCTCTCCCCCTCGCGATTCCCTCGTCAATCAGTCGCCTCCATTCATTCATCACTTGGCTTCCGAAATATGCCATTTTTTCGACTGTAATAGTTCATCTTAAATAAAACCTCTCCCCGCCGCCCTTCGATATCCTATACCGCCGCGCGATTACTCACAGCACATTACCGTTTCCTTTAACCACTACGTCCCGCATCGGGTCACACTCTGGGGCATTTGCGGCTTTTATAGCCCAACCAACAACGACCGAAGAATCGAGAGGAGGGGGGGGGAAATAAAAATAACGCATAGAGGATACAAACGTCCTAGCCACCTACTCCAATATGACCTCGCCGGTTGACGAGAACCCGAATTACAAACCGCACAATGAGAAGGCGCCCCTGCGGAATAATAGCTCCTCAGAGGACGACACTGTGGTGAATGATGGCTCACAACCTCCAAACCCGAAATTAAAACCCCCGGATGTCGATGCCGCCATGGATCAAGAATCGCACTACTCGCCGTGTGCCTCACCGTCCCGAAAGTCCCACGCCAGGGAAGTGGCCCACCGTCTAGATGACGAACTGGCTATGATGGAGGCAGAACGTGTTGTATCGATTGAGGAAAAGGTCCCTTCTAATGAAAAGAGTGGCCGGTCCATGTCCATTTCACGCACTCGCTCCCGACGTTCCGAACCCATGGACGAATTCGAGGCCGCAACAAACCCTCTGCATGAGCAGGCCGCC